GCAAAACTGATATACTAAAAGTTTTTAAAGAATACCCTAATTTATTCATTGCTACTCATGATTTCCTACTTATGCCTCAAATTCCTAGGCATAATCTCCATGAAGCTAGAATTTGTTTAAAATACAATGTACTTTTCTCATCATACCAAGCCCTCATGCTTTACCTCTTTCCTCCTTAATTACTGACATGTTTGATAGTTCTTTCTGAAGAGATCAACTGTTATTCTGAAAAAATGGAAAATGAGACCTCAATTTCCATCTGTTAATATTAATATAATCTTGTCTCTGTATGTATTTGCCTTGTCCCATTCCTTACTTCAGAAAATAAGATTGTTTGTCCTTCAAAGAAAACTTTACCACCTATTCTGAAATGTCTGTATTATCACTTTTCAGCAACCTTCTTGTCCTCACACCTGTCTTTTTGGCAAAACAATTCCAATTCTACCAGCTACTTGATGTTGTTACATTTGACAATAACTACTTCTTTTAAAAATATATATATATATATTTAATTTTAATGGAAAGGGAGAGAGAGAGAGAAACATCAATGATGAGAGAAAATCATTGATCGACTGCCTTTGCATGCCCCACAATGGGAATTGAGCCCACAAATGGGGTATCTGCCCTGACTAGGAATCAAACCGTGACCTCCAGGTTCATAGGTCAATGCTCAACCACTGAGCCACGCCGGCTGGGCATAACCACTTTTTTATTACAGCTTCTTTCTCAGACGATTATCATGACATTTCCCTATTTTTAGTTTCTTTTACACCCTCTCTCCCTTAATGCTTAGCATTCCTTTCTCCTCACCAAGTTAAATCTTTATTCCTGTTTTCTCTGTGTCTACTAAAGAATGAGATGGAAAAGAGATTGGGGAATAGAGGGAGGATAGGGAAGATGTTTATGCTGGCCATTTGTAGCTCCTCACATATATTGAGGTGGAAAAAATTGACAACTATTGCTCTCCATTCTCATTTATTCTTATAGTTATCATACTTACTTACATCTATATAATGTTTCCCTAATTCTATTTTTCCATAATTTTCACCTCTTTCCTGACCCAATCCATATTTCTAGAGGCATAATGAACATTTATATTTTTGTCAGACATTACCAACCTGACACGATCTAAATTTGACATCAACTTTCCCACCTAAAACACCTTCTCTATCTTTTGAATGGCCCAAGAAATCTCCATTGCCCAGATTAGATAAAGTGCCATCTTCTTCATTTCCTATATCCAGGTAGTGATCATTTCATGACATCATAGAGAAGGGGCAAAGAATTCCCCATACAAAAGAGCTATCCTTATCAATTCTTTCTGCTACATTCAATACAGTCTCACCTCTAATCTAATCTCAAGCAAAAAGACCACTTTCACCATGTCATTCCTCTGTCTAGTAATCTCTATTCTAACCCCCCCCCCTCCTCCCAGCTATGACACCTGACGCCATCATGACCAAACGCCAAATGATTTCTTCATGGGAACAAGTAAGTGTTGCTCTGTTCAATTCTCATCTTCCAACAAAGGTCAATTTAAATGCTCCTGAGGAAGAAAGGTAGGGCAGGAAACTATTCTTATCTCTGTCCACAACTGTCTTCAAAGTGGGCGGGGAGGCGAGCTCCGGTGGGTGGGGACTTGACACCTGGTCCCACACAGGTCTGGGTCTTGCACAATTTCGCTCGGTGGGACTCTAGTTTATAATAACTCCCTAATACAGCTATATATGAAGTTTAAACACAACCAGTGATGGTCCTCTGAAATCTGATACCTACCTTCATACTCTATTTACTATTTTTCTCTACTATAGCATTTCTCAAACTTTTTGGTCTTAGAACCCTCTACAGTCCTAAAATTTGTGAGGTCTCTGAAGAGCTATATGGGTTACATCTACCAATACTTAAGATACTGAAAATGAAAACTGAGAAAAATTTTAAACACAATACACAAGCAAACATTCTACTATAAGAGCAATGTCATCATATATCATGCAGTCTGGAAAACTCCACTGACACTTGTGAAAGAATGAGAATGAAAAAGGCAAATAGCATCTTAGTATTATTATTAAAATATTTTTTACTTCTAGAACCCCTGAATCACTTTAAGAACACTGCTCTATCTAACCTTGATTCTTTTAACCTTTTCCCTATCAACCATTGATTACTGATTTGCAACTTTTGTGTACAGCAATAGTCTGGAGGCAGAGAGAAGACTAAGAACTACAGGTTTATAAAATAATCTTCAAATTCATTAATATGCTCACAGTCTAATCCCACTATTATTTCCTGCTATTGCATTTCCCACCCTCCTCCACTGTACTCCCCAAATAGAACAAACGTTTTTCTGCTTCAGCATCTTTGAATACAGCATTCCATTTGTGTGGAAGGCCTTTTCTCACTCATCCTTCAGACCCAATTCATAGGTTATCACTTCTTTGAAGCTTTCTAACACATCCCATTCCCAATTAACTTTTTCTGTAATTCCATAGCACATTTAGAACTTCTCACATTGCACCATGATTACTGTTCATAAGTCTGTCTCCCCACTAGTAGAGACCTAGATGAGAGCAGACTTGCATCTTTTTTTAATTTTAATTTTTTGTTAATCCTCACCTGAGGATATTTTCCAACTGATTTTTAAGGAGAGTGGAAGAGAGGTAAAGACAGAAACATTGATGTGAGAGAAACAAATAGATTGGTTGCCTCCTGCATGAGCCCTGACCAGGAGCTGGGCCATGGAGGAGCCTGCAACCCTTGTATGTGCCCTTGACCAGAATCAAATCCGACACTCTATCCACTGAGCCAAACCAGCTAGGGCCAGACTTGCATCTTATTGGTCTTTCTATTTCTAGTACCTCTCATAGTGGGAACCCAAACATTTGATCATTCACTTGAAGTCATGTCTTTCAGAGTCAGTTCAGCCTGGCCAGTGTGGCTCAATGGTTCAACATCGACCTATGAACCAAGGAAGTCATGGTTCGATCCCAAGTTAGGCACATGCCTGAGTTGGGTTGTGGGCTTGAACCCCAGTTTTGGGATGTGGGGATGCAGGAGGCAGCCAATCAATGTTTCTCTCTCATTATTGATGTTTCTATCTTGCTCTCCCTCTATGAAATCAACAAAAATATATTTAAAAGAGTCAGTTCAATGCTTATCTATCCCCAAATATTCCATAGTATTTTTTCCCCTTCCTCTGAACTTCTGCAGTACTATATATAAATTAAGAAGAAAACTGAAGTTTAAAGGAAACTGTTATAACCTTCCTACAAAAAGACTGGGAACTCTGGACCACAGGATCAAGTCCAATTCCCTACTTTGCATCAATTGGCTCTTCTTTACCTTTCAATTTTATTTTCTACTATTCTCCAATATGAACTGACCACCCCTGTCATCCAACTCTAACTCTCGCTCGCTCTCGCTCTCTCTCCAATCTATTTTATACTCTTCTCTTTCCCAGGAATTCCATTTCCTTTTTAAATTCTATTTTCCCTTAAAAACTTGGTTCAAGACCCAAAGATGCCAGGACGTTCTCTGGGACTATGCTAGACCAAAGGAAAATTTCCCCTTTTGAGATATCCAATGTATTTCAATCTGTTTCCTATAACCTAGTATGTATAGTGTATGGTCTTGTACCGCTCTTTGATCATTTCAAGTAAGTCAATGCTGCAACCCCAAACAGCTTTAAGAGCAGGCACAGTTTTCATTTAAAACATTTGAGGGCCAGGATGTACCAGATAATGGTAAGATTTCTAATCTTATTTCTTTTGCATCAAACCTTTCTAGTAACAGGGAGACGAAGGCATATAATAAATATTATACTATAGTATTTACTCTTTTAACTTGGATTTACACCTTAACTGGTCAGAACGTTCTTTTTTTTTATTTAAAAAAAATATATTTTATTGATTTTTTACAGAGAAGAAGAGAGAGGGATAGAGAGTCAGAAACATCAATGAGAGAGAATCATCGATCAGCTCCCTCCTGCACACCCCCCACTGGGGATGTGCCCGCAACCAAGGCACATGCCCTTGACCGGAATCGAACCCGGGACCCCTCAGTCTGCAGGCCGATGCTCTATCCACTGAGCCAAACCGGTTTCGGCAACTGGTCAGAACATTCCAGGTTATTTTTTGTGTAGGGAACATTTTATCTGCAGACATAATTATCAATTTGAAAATAAAATATGCTATGAGATGTATCTTCTCAGCACCTTGGAACTGCAAGCTCAGATATGATACTCCATTTATAGATAACTCACTCTGAGTCTGAACAAATATGTTTACTTTTGAAGACCCTCCCTTTAATGTTCCTTTACCTTGAATATCTTTTCTTATTTTAGTTGGTACAATTTTAGCTCCCTTAACACATTCTGATGCATGGTTACTGGTGATAATGCCAAACTATTTAAGAGTCAAAGAGGAGGCAAGTAAAAATCATGCATAAATGTAAAATACAATCTTTGAAAACCAAGAAGTTGTGGTAATTGGGTCTCGGACCAATACGTTTCCTTAAATGGAATTTAAGGGGCCACATCTTCTCTATCACCATTTCCTTAAGTGTCCACACCCAAATGGAACAAGCATTAGTTGAAAAATACATTACACATAACCATTAGAACTTGGTCCCTGACATCATGGGTTGATGATAATTTCTGAACATCATTTCCCCCCTTTATTCACTCTTTTACATATGTGATAAAGTCAGTAAGAAGAAATACATTAAAAAATAGTTTAAAAGTAATCGTAGGATTTAGGATGTCCTAAGCCCTAGTTTTTTGTATTATCAATCATAACTAAATGTTAAGTGAGACCTGAGGTTGCCAGCAATTCTTTCTGATATATGTATAATTCGGAGTCCCCGAATGAGTCTCATGTGATAAGAAAAGGGAACTGATGAGTGAGGAAAGAGGGGAGGAAGACATCAGTGGACAGGGAGCGGCTCCCCTACCCCGTTTCCCTCCTCCCCAAAAGCTATAGGAGACAGGAAGCCACAGAATGTACCTTCCAGGCCAGAAGCAAAACATTGAGGATGGCCAGCAAAGGGCAGGGTCCGTTCTCATTCTGGGTGATGATGGGTGTGTGCTCTTCCTTCCACTGGATCCACTTGATGTGATAGACAGATTGTCCCGGGAAGCGTTCCTTGGAGGCCGCGATCACCTGAGCCGCCTCCCCCTCCTCTTCCTCCCCTCTGCACAGGGGCACAGCCCCGGGCACCACCGCCGCGGCGCCCGCATTCCTCTCCTCCTCCTCCTCCGGGACCCTGCTCTCGGCTCCCTCCTCGCTGTTGAACTCGGAGCTACTGGGGAAAGAATGGAGGTTAGAGAACGACTCCAAGGAGTCCAGGCTGGGCGATTCCCCGGCGGGGCTCGGGTCGCTGCAACTGCTGCTGAGGCCGCCGGAGCCGCTGGGCTCTTCGCAGCCCGGGGCCGCTGCCTCCGGCGGGCAGGTGCCTGCGGGGTCAGGCCGGGTGCCCGCGAGTCCGGCGGGACCCAGCCCCTGGCCCGCTCCGGCGGCCTCGGCTGTCTCCGGGGAGGCGGTCACCTTGCGCTGCCCTCTCAGAGGCACCTTCTGGGCAGCAGGACTCTCCAAATCGCTCTCCGGCAAGTCCGAGCCCCGGGAAGCGCTGCAGGGTCCGGGGACCTGAGAAGAGCTGGCGGGAGCCACCGTGTCCGGGAGGCTCCTCCCGGCGGCGGCCGCCGCCCCCTGCCCATTCCCGCCGCCGCCGCTCTCCGCCGCCCATACTTCGGGACCATCCCCAGCCGCGAGCCCGGTCTCCGGCCGCCCTTCCTGCGCAGACGCTGTCTCCGGCGCTGCTGGCCCGGCGGCCACCCCGTGCTCTAGCGGTTGCTGCAGGCTCTCGGGGCCGCTCTCCATACCCAGCCGCCCGCTCCTCGCTTCTAAAGAGACCGCGGCGGGTTCTCCTCGCCCAGCGCCTCCGACGCCATGACAGCGGCACTGGCAGCTACTGCGCTTCAGCGTAGCCCGGGCCAGGCACGTCAGGGGCGGGGGGATGGGGGGGGAAAGGCGCCGGGAGCGCGCGCGCCGCTGCGCGGTCCGCCAGCTCCGGGCGTGCCCGCGCGCCGCCCCGGGGAAGGGCAAGCCGCGCGGCCCCGCCCTTTCCCGAGCGCGCACGCGCGCTGGCCGGCCCGCCGGAGCGCGCGCTCTCGAAGGGCGTGGCGTGGTGGGCGTGGCCGGGAGGAAAACATCCTCTCACTATGTGACCGGAAGTTGAACTCCGGGGCAGCCAGACCGCAAGCGGCTTATTTAAAGGCGAGGCGGAGGCTCACCGCTTGCTTGGCTGCGATCCTGGAGAGCCAGCTCTGATATGTCCCCAGTCTTGGGCTCGTAAATCCTGAGCTGGCGGTGGTAGGTGGCAGTACTTGGAAAAGAGCTCGCCCGCCCTTGAAGGATTTTCAGATTTGTTTCCCCAGCTTGTAATATGGAAAATTGAGCTATTTTCTTGCGACATGCAGATGTTAAAGGCTGGGGTCTACTGGAGATGCCTGGATGACTGCACTGAACAAATTCCAGTCTCCCTCCATGCTCCCACCGACTGCTGATGAAAACGTTCGCCCTGCAACTGGCGTCTGGACAATTGTGGATATTGGCCTGCGCAGGAAAAAAAAAAAAGAGTGGGCCCTTTGGGCCAATAATAATAAATTAGCTTGTGCTCGAATTAGCCAAGCCTTTGCGGTTCTGTTTACTTGGCATCACTTTTCTTGGAGTAGGAAGTGCCTGTTCCTGAAAAAGTGACTTTTCTAATTTGAACTGACACCTCATTAGGCCGAGCAATTATCAAAGAGGACAGAGTAGGCTGGAAGATTTTGGGTGGCAGTGGATTTGGGTCCTCTTCAAACCTGTTTCAGACAAGGTCCTTTTTCCCCTTAAAAAAAAAATTGCAATATTTTCTAAGATCTGGGAATACAAAATTTGACAAAACAGATCTTCTTTCATAGTCAGACATGAAAGTGCCTGATAACTAACAGAATGTAATCTTTTGTATCTCTTGGTTAGAAAAGATAGAATTGCAAAGGAGTGTTTCATTCACTCATTGAACACATTCCTTTAGTTAACTGTGATGTAAAATATACCATTTTAAAATAAATTAGTTACTTTCCAAAATTTAAAATTAATTTCCAGCCGAAACCGGTTTGGCTCAGTGGATAGAGCGTCAGCCTGCGGACTGAAAGGTCCCAGGTTCGATTCCTGTCAAGGGCATGTACCTGGGATGCGGGCACATCCCCAGTAGGAGGTGTGCAGGAGGCAGCTGATGGATGATTCTCATGTTTCTAACTCTATCCATCTCCTTTCCTCTCTGTAAAAAATCAATAAAATATATATTAAAAATAAAAAATAATACAAATACATTAAAAATAATTTTTAAAATTAAATGTATTGGGGTAATATCAGCTAGTAGCATAGTAATTTTTCTCCATGCTTTTGAGTTGTATTTTAAGAAGCAGTCCCATTCAACTCCTACATATTTTTTAGCTCCTTACTCAGTGCATTCATCACTAACATGATTACACTCTGATTTCTTCATTTAAAAGTTGTAGATATTATTTATTGATTGATTCCAATGGAAGATGATTTAATTCTTTTCTCTCACAACATTCTTCCTCTTGCTCCAAACTCCTAATTATTTAAAAAATTTCAATTAAATAAAGTACTCAAAGTTTAAAGTACTAGAGTTACGTGAATATTATTCACTAATAAGTGAGATATTTTACTATGACTGTGATTACATTTCTTGTTAAACATTTTGTTTTTCCTGGAATTAACAGTTGCCTCATCATTTTGTTTGTGTGTTTAACTCTTTATCTATCACTAACTCAGCCACAGACTTACCAGTATGGTCACCCATATCAAGTTGCCCCTCAGATGCATTTTAATCTTGAGTACATCCTCCTGGAACACTCACCTCTTGATCTGCTCTGTTTTAGAAATTTCTTCCTCCTTTCTTCCATCTTGATTCCTTACTTTTCTTGGATTTCCTGTTCTCTTCCTTTCTCCCTTTCCTTTTCCTCCTTCCTTCCTTTTTTAAATTTTTTAAATATTTTATTTATTAAAAAACTTCCTATGCCAAAACCGGTTTGGCTCAGTGGATAGTGCATCAGCCTGCAGACCAAAGGGTCCTGGGTTCTTTTCCAGTCAAGGGCATGTACCTGGGTTGCGGGCACATCCCCAGTGGGGGGTGTGCAGGAGGAGCTGATCGATGTTTCTCTCTCATCGATGCTTCTAGCTCTCTATCCCTCTCCCTTCCTCTCTGTAAAAAATCAATAAAATATATTGGAAAAAAAACCCTCCTATGTGACAGATTTGATTCACTGTATGCCCTTGTCTGGAATTGAACCTGGGACCCTTCAGTCGGCAGGTTGTTGCTCTATCCAATGAGCCAAACCAGATAGGGCTCAAAATGATTATTCTTTTAAAATTCTCTATTTTTCTTAGTTGGGTCATAGCTTTTCTAGTTTCTATGTCAGAAAAATAAAATCTTTTCATTTTTTTTTCTTTATTGATTAAGGTATTACATATGTGTCCTTATTCTCCCATTGCCCCACCCCACTCCCACCCCCTATTCATGTCCCCACCCCCCTGGTGTCTGCATCCATTGGTTAGGCTTATATGCATGCATACAAGTCCTTTGATTTCTCCCTCTTACTCCTCCTCTCCCCTACCTTCCCTCTGAGGTTTGATGGTCTGATACATGCTTCTCTGTCTCTGGATCTGTTTTTGTTTATCAGTTTATGTTGTTCATTATATTCCACAAATATCATGTGATAGTTATCTTTCTCTGACTGGCTTATTTCACTTAGCATAATGCTCTCCAGGTCCATCCATGCTGTTGCAAATGGTAAGAATTCCTTCTTTTTTATAGCAGCATAGTATTCCATTATACCACAGTTTTGTAATCCACTCATCTGCTGAAGGGCACTTAGGCTGTTTCCAAATCCTAGCTATGGTAAATTGTGCTGCTATGAACATAGGGATGCATATATCCTTTTTGATTGGTGTTTCTAGTTTCTTGGGATATATTCCTAGAAGTGGAATCACTGGGTCAAATGGGAGTTCCATTTTTAAGTTTTTGAGGAAATTCTATACTGTTTTCCACAGTGGTTGTACCAGTTTGCATTTCCGTCAGCAGTGCTTGAGGGTTCCTTTTTCTCTGCATGCTTACAAGCACTTGCCATTTGTTGTTTGTTGATGATAGCCATACTGACAAGGTGTGAGATGGTACAGCATTGTTGTTTTGATTTGTATCTCTCGGATTCTTTCTTTCTTTCTTTCTTTCTTTCTTTCTTTCTTTCTTTCTTCCTTCCTTCCTTCCTTCCTTCCTTCCTTCCTTCCTTCCTTCCTTCCTTCCTTCCTTCCTTCCTTCTCACCCAAGATATGTTTTTCAGTGATTAGGGAGAGGGACAGAGGAAGGAAAAGGGAGAGAGAGAGAGAAGCATTTTTATGAGAGAGAAACATTGATTGGTTGGCTCATGCAATCCCCTGACTGGGAATCAAACCCACAACTTGGGTATATGTTCTGCCCAGGAATTGAACCCTTGATCCTTCAGTGCATGGGACAATGCTCTAACCAGAGAAATACAGGCCAGGCCTATTGTCTTCTTTCTTTAATTTGATTGAATATACCCTTGGCTTCCTGAGAAAAAATGCATAGGAAGCACATTTTTGTAGATCACATATGTGTGAAAAAATATCTTTTATTCTATCTACATTTTATAGTTTGGTTGGATATAAATTCAACATTGGAAATACCTTTTCATCATTTTGAAGTCATTGATCAATTCTTTTCTAGATTCCAGGTGATTGTAGAGTTGGATACTATTAGACTCCAAAACCTTTGTATATAACCTGTTTCTTCTCTCTGAAGTTTATTTGATCTCTTTCTTCTTGGTATCCTGATATTTCAGTATTTGATATGTCTTTATTTATTGGGTCATGCTTTATTTATTGGGCTAGGTACTTGGTGATATTCATATTCAATGAAGAAACTTAAGTCCTTCAGGTCTGGGAAATTTTCTTTTCTCATTTTTTAAAAAAATAATTCTTACCTTTTATCTAATTTTATTTATCTTTTTGTTCTACTTTCTAAGAGATTTCCTCTAATTTATCTTTCAGTTCTTTTTAATGCATTGTTCATTGATATTACATATTTAATTTCTAAGAATTCTTTCTAGTTCCTTTTTATTGTTTCATGTATAATAATTTTGATATATTTTATTGATTTTTTACAGAGAGGAAGAGAGGGATAGAGAGTTAGAAACATGAATGAGAAAGAAACATCGATCAGCTGCCTCCTGCACACCCCCTACTGGGGATGTGCCCGCAACCAAGGTACATGCCCTTGACCAGAATCAAACATGGACCTTTCAGTCCATAGGCTGATGCTCTATCCACTAGTAAAACTGGTTTTAGCCATGTCTTAGAATATTGATTATAGTTTTTTAAATTGATTTCAGAGAGGAAGGGAGAGGGAGAGATAGAAACATCAACGATGAGACAGAATCATTGATCAGCTGCCTCCTGCACACCTGGGGATCAAGCCCACAACCTGGGCATGTGCCCTTGACTGGAATTGAACCTGGGACCCTTCAGTTGGCAGGTTGTTGCTCTCTCCAATGAGCCAAACCAGATAGGGCTCAAAACGATTATTCTTTTAAAATTCTCTGTTTTTCTTAGTTGGGTCATAGCTTTTCTAGTTTTCATGACAGAAAAGTTGGGCCCATCTTTCACTTTTGCCCTAATTTACTTGCTGAATATTATCTCATCTATCAAGTCTTGGCTGATATTATATACCACTTTCCTACTTCATTTGCCTGTAGTCACCCCCTAGCTTAGTGCTTATTACCTTACTAGTAGAGTGTGGCAGAATTCTAATTATTCCCCAGACTACGGTTTTCTCTTTCTCAGGTTTATCCTGCATAAACATGTAAGAGCTATAATTCACACACCTTGCTTTTATTTTGTTGATGATTCTACTAAAAATA